CGTTCGTTAATCACAATCCATCGGCGATCGTTCACCGTCTGACACTTCCGTGACCGCAAGCAACCGCGTGTAGAGAGAGAGAGAAAGAGTGAGAGAGATAGAAAGAGAGAGAGAGAGAGAGAGAGAGAGAGAAGAAAGAATCAGTACGTTGAGGGAGGGAGGAAAAGAGCAAGGAGATTAAAAGAAAAGAGGCGTGTACGCGCGCGAGCAACAGAGAAAGAGAGAAAGAGAAAGAGAGAGAAAGAGAGAGAATCGAATGAATTGAAAAAAAAAGGGAAAAAAAATGGAGAGGCGTTCCTTTTTCTTTTTTTTTTTTTTTCACTTTTTGAAGTTTCGTCGACGCATGTCGCGTGCTTTCGTGTCGTACTTTTTATTTTTTTCTTTTTTTTTTATAAATAAATATATATATATGTATACACACATCTTTTTCGTTTTTTCTTTTTTTTCGATTCCTACATACATACGTACACTGTTTTAAAGTAGATACGTACTGTATTCTCTACGAATCGAATCGTGGCTCGTTCACACTTTTCTTGTTTTCCTCTCTCTCTCTCTCTCTCTCTCTCTCTCTCTCTCTCTTTTCGTTTGTTCTTTTTTTCTTCTTATTTTTTTTTTCTTCTTTTTTCTTTTCTTTTTGATCGTATCAAACGAACAAATTCGCCAAATGAATGGATCAAATTAAATCGAATGAATAAAGTGAATAAGATAAATATGAAAGAGAAAGAGAGAGAAAGAGAGAGAGAGAGAGAGAGAAATGTCGAACACCGGAAGAGGGTTGGGAAAAGAGAAAGAAGATGGGCTTGCCGTTCGGAAGGCAGAAAACAGTTCTACGTATATGCGTGACTATGTACGTATATGTGTCAAGTTAGAAAGAGAGAGAAAGAGAGAAGGAGGGACAGAAAGAGAGAGAGAGAAAGAGAGAGATATAGATATATATATAGTGAGAAAGAGAGAGGCAGGGCAAAAGGGGAGAAAGAAAGAAAGAAAGAAAGAAAGAAAGAATGAAAATCGGGGGCGCGACCGATTGTGTGTGTACCTGTTCCTCGAAACGCGCAATTAGCGAATTGGCCCATTCTACCGGCTTTTGCGTGCCCATCGCCGTCCGAGGTTCAGTGACGAGCCGTCATCACGTAGGACGATTCACGAGCTCGCTACGGGCACTCGACATCGATACGTAGCCATTTACGAACGTCGACTGACGAGCGAGCGCCCTGCGTTTCGGCCTCGCTAAGGAGGGGCGCAATAACTCGAGCTCCGGCTCACGAGTGGAGGTAGTGGTGGGGAGGAGGAGGAGAAAAGGGCTGCTGCTGCTGCTGCTGCTGCTTCTGCTGCTGCTATTGCCGCCGTCGTCGTTCGCTATTATTACTGGTGGTGGTACTTGTGCTGGTGCTAGTCTTGTGCTATTGCTGCTGCTACTGCTGCTGCTGGTGGTGGTGTGGTGGTGGTAGTGGTAGTGGTAGTGGTAATTGTAGTGGTGGTGGAGGTGGAGATAGCGGTGGTGGTGGTGGTGGTGGTGGTGGTGTTACTACACACTACTATTACTACTATTATTATTACTTTGGTTCTATCGAAGGGCGCGCTCTCTATCGCCCTCTTTATCCTGTTCCTCTTCCTTTCTCTCTCTTTCTATCTCTCTACTTTTCTCTTTATCTTTCTCTCTCTATTTCTCTTTTAACCATATACACCGACTCTCGTAGAGAATCGTGAACCGATGATAGCCGAAGATAGACGATGTTTGGGCTCGTTGACCAATCGTTGAACGAGCCTGGATTATGTTCAATAATGTATCTATTCGTCTCGTGTGCCCTGTTCGTAATATACATATATATATATATATATATTAGATAAAAATTTTTGTGAAAATTTACTTTTGTTAAAATTCTTCAATTATTTTTTAATTTTTTGTTATACTCCATTTTCTTTCTTTTTGATTATACATATATATATATATGGATAAATTATTTAAACACAATAGAAATTTTGTTTCCGTTCTATTCGTGAATAAAGTGAAATAGGCGTGAGTATGAATGTCTGAAACAAGGAGATAGATTGTCGACGATGACATTAATTCCGTAATTAAGGTTTTCCTCTTTCTCACGTTCCCACTTTCTATATGAAGATACGAATAAATGCGACCGTTGGAATAATGTGACTTTAATAAGAGCATATGTATGTAGGATATCTTGTTGAATTATCACGTTCACTACGTTCAAATTTTCTTTTTCTTTTTGTCTTTCTTTTTATATAATTTTGTTCTTTTTTTTTTCTTTTGTCTTATCACTCTCAATAATATCGATCGATCACTCTATCGTTGATTTAATATAATTCGTTAGGTTATGTCAATTATTCGTTTAAACGTTATTTTACGATTCGAATTAATTGTGTATTTTTTATACACCACGATGACACGTTTTTTTAAATCAAAAAAGATAATAATTTACATACGTAAATAGAATATGATTTATTAAATTTTCATGTAAAATTGCAATATTTAATTATAAGACTGAAGAAAAATGTTAACGTCGTTCTTAATAAAAGGGGTACATTGTTCTGCGCCTTCTTTTGTTTCGGTCCTGACGTTGCCTGACTTTCCCCACTTTTCAACCGTGCCATTCATAACTGTTGAACGGCCTTGCACCTTAGAGAGTCTATTGCTACGAAAATTCGATTACTTTATCACTGTCATGACAGATCATTATATAACATAGGGATAATATCAATGCGTTCATGGGTGGAATCAAAATGCATACGATAATGCATCGACATTTTATTCGTCTCGAAAAAAAAAAAAAAAGAAACATGTATTTACAACGTAATTTATTTGAGAATTATTTAAGAACAAATTTTTTTTTTAAACAATTCCATAGACGTCCATCTCGTATTATTTTTAAAACTAACTAAAAAGAAGATGCAGTTAAAAAACAGGAAAAAGAAACAAACATAACCCTTAGAAAGAATATTTTAAATGATATTATATTTATAATTATTTTTGATTTATTCTTATAAAAAAAAAAAAGAAGGAATTTTTGTGTAGGAAAAAAATACGATAATTATAATACGATAAGTATAACGATGCTTTAACTTAAATATTTCTACAATACGTCTTACTCGTGTTAAATTTTCCCGCGGGATGAATGACGTAATAATAAAACGATCAAAGCGCCATCAACTACGTAATCGATATACCGACATGACAATACTCGTTATCTTTGTGGTTAAGATTTGGATTAGCAATAAATTAATATATAATTTATTGTTTCTTTTCGCATTTATGATACTTATAAAATTCGTAGATAGAAATATGAATATGAGAAGAAATAATTTTTGTACTTTTCGTTTTGAAGTCTTTAAGAAATTTAAAAAAGATTCAGACATAATATCCTTTTGAATTTTGTACATACTTATCCATATTTTATAATATTTATATTATTTTAAATAATTCATGCTAATAATTTAGTCTCTTTGTTATGTTATTAATAATACTTTGCAATTATTATTATTATTATTATTATTATTAATTAATTAATTAATGGAATAATAATTTGTCCCTTTGTGCAAATTATTCTATATAATAAAATATTCATATTATATAATGTAAATAAAATTATTTAAACTAGAATCATCAATTTAAGATTAATTACGTGATTGGATGAAAGACATAATTAAAATAATTAAGATAAACAATAAATAAAAAGAAAATTCAACATACTTAAATATCTATCTTGAATATTCATTGATGATCATTTAAAGATAATTCTTCTTTTAATACAGATATTACTGCATTAAGAATATCTATGTCTCTTTGACGATGCCTTTTAATACTATGCATACTTTTTGGATCCAAGTCGGTAACATTAACACTGGTAAGAAAACAAAGATCTTTAGATATTTTGATCACATATTCTTGTGGAACGGACAACAGTGCTTCCCTGGAGAAAAAAAAAGAAAAAAAAAAGAAAACATAATTGAATCATACATTGATTGAAATTAATATTCATATTCTAATGATATATAAACACAACTTACGGTTTTAATTGTCGAAAAGTTATTAATATTGAACAATCTCTTGCAGTACAAAATAAAAGATAATTTTGTAATGCTATTAGATCTTTATTATTTATGTTGCTTGATATTTTATCATTTTTATACTCGATATTATCATTATTACTTTTATCTATTAACTTATCGTTGTAGTAAGAAATATTTTCCTTCCATTGATCTGTATTTTTAATTAACTCAATATTCTCTTTAATTTTAGAAGTTGTACTTGGCCAATTGTCAGTATGATTTCCATTGGTATCCTTGTGTTCTTCTTTCGTATAATTCCAAGAAGAATTTATTAAATGAGAATATATGATCTCATCGTTTATCACTGTTGAATGTTTATCGTAGATATCATAGATATGTTCTGTACCGACATATGGTAATCTTTGCATTGAAAGTATTCTTTCCAATATACAGTCCTTTGGTAGATCATTATTACTTTCACGTTTACATTCCTATAAAAAAAAAAAGAAAAAAAAGAGAAGTTAAATAAATATTTCACCGAGAGATAATATTATGTTTACTTCATATAAATGAAAGAATATATTTAAAAAAAGAAATTCATACTTCCTGTAAAAGATAAAAAAGTTTTCTTGTTTTTGAAAGGAGTTTCTCATTGGTGTCACGAATAACTTCATTGTCACGTTCAGAAATATGATAAAAGCGATTACGTTTAAATTTAGCTCGCATTAACTCTGAACGTTTACTCTGAGGATAAGAGTGCAATAATATAGCACAAATTAAATTGCTGAACAAATTTACATTGATATCTTTTGTAGAAATATCAGCAGTTTGATAAAAATCATTTAATACAGTTTCAAGATCATTCGTTGAAAATTCTTGATCGTAAACGATCGTTCCATCCTTGAAAATCTTCAAATTATTTTGAGGTGATCTTAACAAGCCTTTGATCGCTCCGTTCATACGTTCGACATCCCCTGAGAAAAGATCGAACGGGCAATAACTGCTTCTATCATCGATCATTTTCTCATTAAACTGAAATCAAAGAGAAATATCGTTCGATCGATTAGTAATGATCTATTCGAAAGGGAAAAATAATAATAAAAATAATTCTAATGATTTCTATTACCTTGTAATACTGTGCAAGGCAATACGGACACTTTTGCAATCGTTGTTCCTCTTTACGTTGATATCCCTGTTTAGGTTTTATTTCTACGGCAAACGTCGATTTACTTTTAAATAAATCATGATCTAATTTGGCGAACATCGATGGAAGAAAAGTATAATCTGGCATTTTCATGGCATATATTTTGACTTTCTTCTTGTATTTCCTTTTTTCTGTAACAAATATCACAAATAGACGTTCATTATTATACACATTAATTATTATTATTATTATTATTATTATTATTATTATTATTATTATTATTATTATTATTATTATTAAATCGTGATTTGTTTATTGTAATGCCTTAGTAACGCATAGATATTTTTTGTTATGTTGAAAAAAAAAAAAAAAAATGTGAATATAATGAGGAAATGAAAGAGAAAAAGAAAACAAACAAACAAACAAATGAAATTACATACCATAATTTTTGAAGATAAATATTTATTAATTTATGCACACAATGATAATTTACATGCACTGAATGAATGACTTGAAATCACCGGGAGTTACGAGAGCTCGTTGAATTGAAATAATCACTCATTATCTTTCTCTTTCTCTCTCTCTCTTTCTCTCTACTTTCCATTCCCATAAAGCGTCTCTAAGGATATAAGAAGGGGTGACTCATTAAAGTTACTCTAACGAGTAACCACTGCCTTTCACGCTGATTCTCGTTCGGTGAACAGTAAAAAAAGAAAAGAAAAACGTTTCACGGCAACGATGACGATGTCGATGCTCTCTCTCTCTCTCTCTCTCTTATTCTCTTTTTCTCTTTCTCTCTCACATATTCCTTTTACACCTTGGTTGCTATGCTGTTGTATCATGCGAAAAAAATGATTGCAAGAAAATAACAAAACTAACCTAAAATTGTTCATTTGAATTTTGTTCTGTAAAAAAGAAAGAAAAAAATAAGAACAAAAATAAAAAAAAAAAAAAAGAAAAGAAATAGAAAAAAAAAACAGGAAAAAAATATCTCTAAATGAATTCCATTCGATATCCGTAATAAAAAAAAAAAAAAAAAAAAAAAAGACAATTCAACGTTATTAATTATTCAATCTATTAAATAACCTATTCAATATCAAAGAAGAATTTAGTTGAACGATGCAAATTATTCGGGAAAAAAAAAAAAAAGAAAAAGAAACAGAAAAAAACAGAAAAGTTATTTTTATAAAAGCACGTGGGTTTTCGTTTCGTCAATATTTCATAAAATCTTCGATATTCTCCCTTGTAAACGTATTTAAAATATTAAAATGTTATAGAATAATTCGTGATAAAAAAAAAAAAACAAGAACGAAAAAGAAAAGAAAAGAAAAGAAAGTTAGGAAGAAACGATAGGAAAAAGTATTGTCCCTTTATATTTCGTATTAACGCGTTCGCAGTTCTTTTTCGAGGAGATAATACATTTCCTACAAACCTATATTAAAATAAGAAATAGACTGGCCTCTTCTTCCAAGAATGTATATATATACATATATATATATGTAAATGTATTTATATAAGAAAATCATGTCTCGAGAAAATAGAACATGCATACATATATATATATATATATATATATATATATATATACATATATATACATACATACATATGTACAAAGTTTTTCTTTTTGGTCGTTTGTCGTCGGCCGAGCAGAGCTCGATTCCACGTATTTCGTACGCTTGTGTGTTGGAGACTGTCTGTGTGAGGCAGCGACGAGAGATTTTTTTTCTTCTTTTTTTTTCTCTGCTTTTTTTTTTTTTTTTTTGTTGGGTCGTCTACCTTGGCATTGAAAAAAACAGGTACTTACATACATAATTTCTAAGAAATTATATAGGTCAGTGTGCCAATTTAATATAGGTCAGTAGTGTATATATATATACGTATATATATATATGTACCGAATACGTAAGTCAAAATCTTTTCGTTTTTTCTCCTCTCATAATATTCGAAGGCATTATTTTCCCTTTTAATACGTCGTTTCAAATTTCTTCTACGAATTAAATTAAAAATTATTTCTGCAAATTAATGTAATAATTTTATTGAAAATATCATTATAGTAAAAAATATTACGAGGGAAGATATATATATATATATATATATATATATATATATATATATATATTCTTAATTTTAATCGATCGATTATTTATTTACTATTATTTTAGACGTCAAATATTGAAATTGAAAGATAAATTGTAAGTAATTACTATGTGATACACATATACATCTTTGTCTAATTTATTCAATCGATTGAAAAATAATTATTAACAATATATTTTATGATTTTAATCCTTATAGATTTTATATTGTATCGTATATTTCTCAGTAATAAAAATAGTAAATTTATAATAAATATATTGTTTGACGAACGATGTACTTAAGGTAACGTTATGCGCATGCGCGGCGCGAACTATTCAACAGTCGTGGAGTGAACATCGCCATGTTTGTTCGACTGACCACATCTGCTCGATACGGTATTTGTATCGTCCTCGTTAATTACAAGTAATTAGTATATTTTTTTTCTAACCTACAATTCTTCCTTATACATCGATCGATTCCTTGAAACGTGTATTTCTAACGTGCATTGTTCGCAAGTCGTGATAAAGACGCATTTAGAAGATATTCACGAAAATGAAATCAGCGTCTTCGAATTGTCCAGTAGCCGGTGTAATGGGAGAAAGGAGGGAAGGGAGCTATTGGGTAATAACCTTTTTTCCCCGAATTTTTTAGATTTTTATTACTGCGTTTATCGATATTTCTCTCGTCTTTTTAATGACCCTCTAATTGATAATATTTTCATTTGTTAACGTGATCGATTGTATTTCGTAATACATTCGATTTTCGTATATGCAAATATATATATATATATATATATATATATCGCTCTTGGTTAAAAAATATATTTTTATTTAATTAAAAATCATTGTCAATATTAATAATTCCAATTGATCAGATTTTTCATAACTTCAACGATCCTCTATATTTCATACTGCATATTACTTTTTAATAATTGTTATTATATGAAATTAATATTTTCATTGACTCACTAGGTACCGGAAGTGACGTATCGGTGAACGAACTACGTAGTCCACTTTCGTATTTTGACCTGCTCGCCATTTTGGACACGCTGACAAGACAACAATGACGGTGCTTCGTCGTTCCGCATAATTACAGGTAAATTAGCATATTTTTTTTCTAACGTATATTTTTTTCCGATATGTCAATTGATAGCTGAACGAGTGATTTTCAAATGACCGCGTTCTCAAGTCGGGACATTGTCACGTACAAAAGATATCGATGAAATATAAAATCGATATTTCGAAATACTCCCTTCTCCCTGTCTCTCCTTACCATTTAACAGGGAATTATTGCGTCATACATTTGCTTCAATTTTTTAGCTTTACTTTCACCAATATCGATATCCTTCTCTCTCATTTTTAATGATCAATAATTTTCTTGTAATAATTTTGATCGATTTTTATTCGATTTTCATATATACTCGTTTATACATACATTCATATATATATATACCAATAAAGAAAATATCCAAACTATATTATATACATAAAATGAGTATTCTCTAGTATATATATGTAACATATGTATACACGTACATACTTTTAATTTTATCTTGTAATAATATGATCCTATTATAAATTTTTCAGATTTCCAAGAATTGTACGCGAGACAGAACAGAAATACTAATTTCTTATATATACATACTTCTCCTTAGTCATACGTACAGGTAAGTTCATTTTTTTTAATAACATAGAACGAGAATTAATAGAGAGAGAGAGAGAGAGAGAGAGAGAGAGAACATACGTATATATCATTCGTCATGTAAATAGACATTGGGCTGTGGATTTCTAAGAAATATATCTTCCAAGAACAAAACAAAAACAATCGAGCGTTCGAACTCTCTCAAGGCTAAGAAAGAGATCTCTTCATTCATATACAGTCTTTCGACGAGTACAGATCTATCTACGTACATATACATATAGATATGATGCGTACGTACGTACGTACGAAAACAACGATTAATATCATTTAAATTAAACATTTAATTTTACGAATATATTTTACTTTAAATACGTCAATAATTGTTTTATTCAGTGTATATTACGAAAATAATTTCTTTACGAGATACAATTTCTTATAGACGATAAATCGACGATATTGAAATCCATATTTTTTTCGTGATACTTTCGTAGGATAACAACATTTTATTTATATATATATATATATATATATATATATATATATATATATATTTTCATTTCTTTTTCTTTAGATTTTCGTCGCGTTCCTTAAAAGAAGAAGAAGAAAAAAAAAACCAAGAAAAAAGAAAGAAAAAAGAATCAATTATATCAAAGAACGAAAGCAATTACGGAAATAGTTTTGAAGGAACAAAAATGGATATGCGTGCCGCCGCGAGAGAATCGTGCGACTCGGGTTTTATTATGGTTCTGCGTTGCTCGCACTGTATATTCTATCAAAGAAAGAAAGAAAGAAGTTGAAAGTGGAAGGGAGAGAAAAGACGGGAATAGGAGAGGAAGGGATATCGGGGGCGGGTTGGGGCTAAGGAAGAGGGGATGAGGGTAAGAGGTGGTAGAAGGGTGGGAGGAAAGAAAGGGTCTCTAGCGAGCCTTGCCCCGTTCGGAATCAGGTTCTTTCTTGTCACGGTACCTGACTCTCTTCGGGGGCCTTCCTCTACAGGTTCTCTTACACAATTCATGGACTTTGAACACGACACATTGTGTGTGTGTGTGCGTGTGCTTGTGCGCGCGCGTTCCTCCGAGCGTTTCTATTAACGTTAGACGGACGACACATCGTATTAGAACGGCCCATCATTACTTTTGAAAAGGAGTATGACGAATTTAACATCCGTGTAATCTAAATCCGTCTCAATGAAAATCTATTATTAACGAAATGGACAAAATTATTGTTGACTTTTTCTTTTTCTTTTTCTTTTTCTTTTTCTTTTTCTTTTTCTTTCTTTCTTTCTTTCTTTCTTTCTTTCTTTCTATCTTTTTCTTTTCGTTTTGTTTTCTTTTGTTTTGTTTAAATACAATATTTCGTTAGATCCCGCAGTTTGCGTACAGAATTGCGTTCAGACTTTGTCTTTCGATCGTTTTAATAATAATAATAATAAAGGAAGAAGAAAAAAAAAAAAAAAAAAAAGAGAAAAAAGATTTTATTTCGTTTTCGCGCCTTTCGATTCTATTCACAGATAATTACTCTAATAGAATCATTTTCTCTTGACTTTTTTCTAGTAGATTTTATCGGAATATAATTCATTAGTTTTTCCTTTAGATTTTTGTTGATTTTATCGAAATTTCATTTACTTGATTTCTCCGAATATTTTAGATCCTATCGAAATTATTTTTATTAGTTTCTTTATATATTTTTTTTTTATCCTTTTTTTTCTTTCTTTCTTTCTTTCTTTCTGTCTTTTGTTAGATTTTATCAAAAATGTTTTATTAGTTTTTTCCTCTCTTTTTCTCTCTCTCTCTCTCTCTTTTTTTTCTTTCTTTTTTGCTTAGATTAAGCGATATCAGTTCGTTTAAATTTCTTAGATCTCATTAAATTTAATTCATTAGTATATTCGATTTTATCAAAATTACTTTATTAGTTTTTCTTTCCTTTTTTTTTTTTTTTTTTAAACTCCGATTAAGTTTGAATTAGATCGTTTGAATTTTTCTTAACTACGTCAGAATAACTTTATTAAAATATTAATTTGGATTATTCTTGAAATTTTTCTCCTTGCAAAAAAAAAAAAAGAAAAACAAAAGAAGAAGAAGAAGAAGAAGAAGAAGAAGATAAAAAGACCAGTTTATCTAAATATTTCTTAAGGAAAAGATTGGACTTTTTTTTTTTTTTTCTATTTCTATTTAATCCTTTAATGCGAATGAACGATCAAAGCGTATATCGCTTGTGTATCATAAACAAAGAGTAACTTATCATCAAGGCATATTAATCTTGATTCAACAAGTTTCCTTTTTTTTTTTTTTTTTCTTTTCTTTTCTTTTCTTTTTCGCTGATTACCAATCATTGATAATTGAACATGAAATTGAATCGTCGAGTTGAAGTATTAATTTTACTTTTTATTCGGATAGGAGCGTTCCTTTCCATTTCAAAGTACTTCGGAGAAAGTGATAGAAAGAAAGATAGATGGATAGATAGATAGATAGATAGATAGATAAAGAAAGAGATAAAAAGAGAGAAAAAAGAAGAGAGGGGATATCAAGAGAAGAGGAGTCGGTAAAAAGGAAAGCGAAAACGGAGGGTTTGCCACTTGTTGCTAGAGAGCTTGTGGATTCTCAGTTCAAGGCGACGTAACACGAGCATTCCCGTTGTCTCTGACGACGAAGACGAAGACGACGATGACGCTGACGACAACTACGATGACGACGACGACGACGACGACGACGACGACGACAATATCGTCTTTGACGTCTCGGATACGCCTACCATCAACGTCGTCATATTTCGACTATCATTGGCTATACGTCAACGTTTAATTTTACAATATTTTCAAGGAAGTTTTAAACGTTAAGAAAATATATTTAAACTCATCAACTTTTACAACTTATATATTACATACGTACGTACATAAATAGATAAGTATATATGTAAATATATAGATAGATACTATGGTGTAGATATTTATTAATGAACTTGTTTAATACGTCATACGTTTATAGATTAAAATTAGAAAGGTACGATTAAGAAAAGTTTAATAAAGAAGATATATTAAGACGAAGAAGGGATTATTATTTTAATAATTATTATAAAAAATTATCAATGGTATTTTAATCGATTTCGATCGTAATTCCATTTGACATTTATTTTCGTTCGAACGAATTTCTTAGAAAATGAATTATTTAGATTTTTTTTTTTTTTTTATGAACAATTTATAGAGAAAACATTTAATTAATCGATAGAATGAATATAATTCATTCGGTCATATTTATTTCCACGTTATATATATTATTCGATTAACGCGAAATATTTAGAATAATTCGATATTTATTTAATAATAATGAATGAAAACAGAAATATAATATAAATCGATGGAACGAATATACGATTAAGTAACATTATGTGGATATCAATCACAGAGAAAAATTGTTGGATATAAATTTCAACGTAAAAAAAAAAAAAAAGAAAAAGAAAAGTTATATAAACAAATTGATATAAGATTTTCTACCTATTGATATAAATATGTTATATATATATATATGTATGTATCTACGTATGTATGCCAAGCATACACGCATAACGTCATTTTAGTTTGCGGCTCGACGCATTCGAGGGTGGTTATTTGAAAGGAACAAAAAAAAAACAC